GTGTTTTTTTTTCTCAGCCCGACTGTGGAGTCCATCCGCGTTTAACTGCATTGCCTCTGCGTCTTCGGTCCTTCTCCCACCCCCCCAACCTCCGCCCTTCCCCCTTCTTCTATCTCTGTCACTTGCAACCACAACCAGGTGAAAGGGCTTTTTTTTCGGGAGGGTGGGTGGTGGTGGGGTGGGTCGACCTGCTGGAAGTTCTTTTGATGCATCCACTTCTGTCTTGATTCGCCTGGTTATGTCGAGGTGTGGGATTCCTCTCTGGAGCCCGCGGGACTGGACTTTCCCTTCAGGATCCACACGGAAGATGAAGTTGAGTAGTCTCAGTTCCGTCGCTGCATGCTCCGATACGAGATAGTTGACCTGCATCTGCAACATCGGGGCCGGGATCATCACATCAGAGTGAATTCTTCTTCTTTCTCTTTTTTTTGGTGGACAACAGCCAGAGAACGAGATGAGGTGCTTCTATGACTTTTCAAATTGCACGTAAAGAGGGAAAATAAAGGGTATTCTACCCTGCTGCTGCTACTGCTGCAGGGAGCAACGTCCCCCCCCTCCACTCCCTCCCCACCAGCTTCCCAAACGAGTTGCATCAGAGACGAGACCGAGAACTCTGTTGAGGGGAAAACAGAGCGTTTCTCTTTCTCTGCAACACAGAAGCACGTTAGAAAATGAAGAAGTTTCGGAAGGTACTGGACGGTCTGACTACCTCCTCTCCGGGAGGGACTATCGGATCCCCATCAAGCGGCAGCGCCGCCGGGACTCCGACATCGGCGCCGACTCCCAAGGAAATCGACGTCCAGGAGACGCTGGTGTCGGAAAACTTTCAGCTGTGTAAGGTGGGTAAATGCAGAGGTTTTATGGGCGGGACCATGCAACACCTTGTATTCTGGCTTCTCTGCATCCCGGTGCACACATGTGATGGTGATGTTGGACAAACGGGGATCGTAAAAGTTGGTTTAAGTGGATGAGTTATTCTGCTGCCAGATTGTGTGCCCCGGTGTTCCCTGTTCGTGTTGACAGTTCAGCACCACGGACAGCTCCTCGTCTCCAATTCTTCCGCGCATGGAGATCGTTGGACAAAACAGCAGGGAACCGCTGGTTCTTAGTTTTTGTTGCTGTGTTCTGGTCCTAACGAGAAAGGCTTAGCCCCCGCGGACACGTGTGCACGACAGGCAGAAAATGACAAGTGTGTGCCGTATTATGTGCTACGCTCCTGCTCCCACCGGCGTGCACTGTTTAGCTGGAGTGCACGCGCTCCGCCATAAGGCTGCAGTAGCGTGCGCACGTGTGGTATAAACAAACCAAAGGCAGTCGATGAATAGTTGCATCAGCAAGCATGGATGGTGTAGGAGCGATGACATAACTGCCGTCCCTCCCTTGCATGAAAAAAAGCGAAGTACACAGCAAGCCAGCGGAGGGAACCTGCAGTAGCTCATGTGCTTTTCATTGAGAAGGAGGGAGGGGTGTGGATGCTGGGTAGGGGGGTGTGAGGGGTGGGTATTTATAGCAACCTATGCCGCTCATTGCAGCCCTTTTTCTAGACGAATTTTAGAACTGGCTGCAATGATTATTCTTCACTCTTAAAGAAACAGAGTGGATTCTAGATACCTGCAACTGTGGATTTTTCATTGAGAAATGAGGAGAATTTGGGTTCTTTACAAAGCAATATCATTTTGTGTCAGAATCACATTAGTATGGTGGGAGGAGGGGGGTGGGGGGCGGTGGGGGGCTCTTTTTCCATAGAGATGGTAGAAGGGGAGGATGAGGAGGGAGTTTGATTTACAAGCAGTAAAGGGATGCTGCAGAGAACCATGGCAGGCAGGCAGCCAGACAGGGAGGAGAGTGCTGGAAAAGATCAGCATGATTACCAGGTCCCATCCAGGAAACTGGTCCTCCGCCAGCGAGTGGATGGATACAGTTAAATACAGCACTTGCAGATTGTTTGTATTGTTTGTGAGTGTGTAAAAGGGAGTGCAACGTAGCCACAGAGGGAGAGAAAGGGGCTGTAGTCCTTATATCTGTTAATTTATATTCCTGGTGAGGACTAGCTTGTGGTGGGACAAACACATGGTGTTATTATTTTCTTTTTAATGTCACATGTTAGCCAAACTACATGTCTATCACATGTATACATGTGGAAAGACATGTGCCTCATTATGTCTCTCATCTCCACCTCAGATGTTATGCATAGCGGAACGGGGAATGTTGACATGAACACACACAAAACCATCCATTGTCTCCTGTGACATTTCTCTGATTTGTTAAGCAATAAAATGTGTACATACAGTCAGAATCAGCAGCTGGTTAGTTCCCAATCCTGTTATATATATATATATATGTCTCAATCAATCATGTCTCAATATGGTCAGTAGTCAACCATGAACAAATTAAATACATTTATTTAAATTTTTTTAATTTAATTTGAATGCAGAAGAGATAAATACAACTCAACAACATTTATCCCCAAGTATTGCCCCAAATATTTCTAAATTGGATCTTCCGTTCTAACAAGGCTATGAATCTGTGTGCAGTGTGTGTCGGAGGCTTTGTGGCCTAAATTAGTCGTAACTCTTGTCCTCATTTTGCCGTGTAGATGCAACAACTTATGTATTGTTTGGATTTCATATCATTTTGGTGTGCTTATAGTGCAATTGTGATAGTCCCTATTAACAGAGGTGCTGAAAAAAGGTTCTGGTGCAACTTGAATCGGTCTGAAGAAGTAAAAGAGCCAACCGGACGGCACCCGGGTGGCTGAAAGTGTCTTTGATTCTATTGGTTCATTTCAGTTTACAGCAAAATAAGTACATTTTGTGTTTGAGTGAGAAATTGGTAGAAACAAAGAGAAAGAGAGACTGAAGTGAATGCTGCGTCTACTAATTTGAGCAGAAAATGAAGAAAAGAAAACGGCATTATCGTAGCCCGGCATTCCAAATGTCAGTGTTCACTTGGCATTGTGATGCAATCAAGCTTAAGCATAAGCATATTTTATGAATTTATTCTTTTCTAAAAACACCCTGACTGAGCTTTCAGGCTCTTGGAATGAAGACAGCATGTTGCTGTTAGGTTTGACTGAGAACAATCTTGCATATTCTTCTTCCCCTAAATGTGCCCGAATATATTGGGTCATTTTAAAATAAGAGTAGATTTGTTTTTGGTGAAACTCCCAACAACCAAACTTCTTCCAACACATGCTCACATTAGTGTACATTAGTGTACGTCAATGCATATTGATCTAATGACAATGATCTGAGAAACAGAATACACCAGTCAGGCACCTTAAAGAAAGCAGCACAGCTTTAGTCATATTTAGTCATTGGATCTTCATGGCGCCCTCCGTGGCAGACGTGTTGGCTTGCTCCGCTAAATGCAGGACCACCAGACTGAAAAACTCCTTTTTCCTCACTGCTATTAGTCATCAACAGCTGAGAGGACTCACAACTGGTCTGCACCATAGCTTGTTAGAATTTCACTTGTACTGTACAGCTCTGGCCAAAAGTTTTAAGAATGGCACAAATATTCATTTTCACAAAGTCTGCTGCCTTAGAAACACGTGCAGTCATCATTGCTTTGCACAAATAGGGCTTTACAGCCAAGGATATTGCTGATAGTAAGATTGGACCTAAATCTACTATTTATCGGATCATCAAGGACTTCAAGGAATGCGGTTCAATTGTTGTGAAGAAGGCTTCAGGTCGCCAAAGAAAGTCCAGGAAGCGCCAGGATCGTCTCGTAAAGTTGATCAGCTGAGGGATCGGGGCACCACTAGTGCAGAGCTTGCTCAGGAGTGGCAGCAGGCAGGTGTGAGTGCATCTGCACGCACAGTGAGGCAAAGACTTTTGGAGGATGGCCTGGTGTCAAGAAGGGCAGCAAGGAAGCCACTTCTCTCCAGGAAAGATATCACGGACAGACTGATATTCTGCAAAAGGTACAGGGATTGGACTGCTGAGGACTGGGGTAAAGTCATTGTCTCTTTGTTTGGGGCATCTGGAAGCAAGCTTGTCCAGAGAAGAAAAGGTGAGCTCTACCATCGGTCCTGTGTCGTGCCAACAGCGAAGCCTCCTGAAACCATTCATGTTTGGGGTTGCTTTTCAGCCAAGGGAGTGGGCTCACTCACAATTTTGCCTAGGAACACCGCCATGAATAAAGAATGGTGCCAAAACGTCCTCCGAGAGCAACTTCTCCCAACCATCCAAGAACAGTTTGGTGACAAACATTGCCTTTTCCAGCATGATGGAGCACCTTGCCATAAGGTAAAAAGTGATAACTAAGTGGCTCGGGGAACAAAACATCAAAATTTTCGGTCCATGGCCAGGAAACTCCATAGAGCTTAATCCCATTGAGAACTTGTGGTCAATCCTCAAGAGCCGGGTGGACAAACAAAAACCCATGTCTGACAAACTCCAAGCATTGATTATGCAGGAATGGGCGGCCATCAGTCAGGATGTGGCCCAGAAGTTAATTGACAGCATGCCAGGGCGAATTGCAGAGGTCTTGAAAAAGAAGGTTCAACACTGCAAATATTGACTCTTTGCATAAACTATGTAATTGTCAATAAAATCTTTTGACACTTATTAAATGCTTGTAATTATACTTCAGTATACCATAGTAACGTCTTACATATCTAAGAACACTGAAGCAACACACTTTGTGAAAACCAATAAATGTGTCAAAACTTTCTCAAAACTTTTGGCCACGGCTGTACTGTTAATTTATACTACACACATTTATTTATTTTACAACCTGCTCAGTTTTGCACATTTCCCCTTACCTCATTTCTGCCTTATTTTTATTTCATGTACATTTATGTAAATATTGTATTATTATTTTAATTTTAAAATTGGTCGGCTTTCCAGAAAAGGCAAGCATAAGAATTTCAATACACAGGGGGTGTGTATTTGACAATAAAATCTTTGAATCTTGAATATTGCTTATGAACAGCCGAAATGTGCAGCATATCTGGCCTTTCAGATGTATGAGAGAAGCACGACTGGACAACATGCGTTCGTCTGTTTTTATTTTTCATTTCAGATTAACAAAAAAAAAAAAAAAGAATTGGCACTCTAAACCGGCAAAAACTGCTGGCTAGTTTCCTTCGGGGCTGATGACTGAGAATAAAAAATACTGAGGAAAGAATACTACAGGCGCGATCACCTAGGCAACACCGTCAAGGCATGTCCTTATAATCAAAAGAGCATGAAGCTGACTGGAAATACTTATTGAGCAGCATCTTGTTTTTTTTGTTTTTTTCTTGAGACGTCGTGTCCGCAAACCTTTTCTCAGACGTCATAACTGATCGTGTGAGACAGCAGAAGTGTGAGACAGCAGAAGTGTACTTTGTGGAACTCGGAGCACAGGCATCAAATTGCTGATGAGTGTGTAAATGTATGTGTTTCTATGAGGGTGTGTGCTCAGAAGTACATGTCCTGGAAGAGGTTTTGTCCCAATTCAATGTAGGCCTCCTTCTCCTGGGCAGACATTTGCGCCACTAGCTCCGGCCTCTGGCTGACCTCTCGGTAGGAGAACTGCCGGCCTCCCACCATCACCATCGGCTCATCCCCCACCTCCTCAAACTCATCATCGTCCTCTTCCTCCTCCGCGGCAACCCGTTGCTGGGCCGCCGCGGCGGGCGGAACCGAGGGAGAGTCGTCGTCCGATTCGCTGGTGTCGCTCTCGGAGTCGCTGGCGTTGGCTTTGGAGGAGGTGAGCTTCCTGGCTGCGGTGCTTGCTCCGCCTCCGCCCGGTCCCGCCACGCCTCTCTTCTCGTGGATGAGCAGGGCGCGCATCACCTCCTCGTTCTCATCTGCATGACCAATTCCATGACCTGCAGTTACATCCTGGGCCACAGGAGCGACGTCTCCACCTGGGAAAACCAAACAATGACGTATTCAAAATGGAATTATATTAAATTCTGACATTAAACATTTGTGTTATTTCTTGCAAAACTATTAACATTGCATAGTAATTCTAAATTGTGCCTGAAGCAACACAGCAAGTTTCGCTAAGCTCGTCAAGGCTCCTGTTACTAATTGCAGCCCAGTATCTGAACGTTTCCTGTATTTACATGACGTCCTCTTCGGATGTCTGTTTCCAGGCTCCAGAAGAAAACGAGATCATCACAGACCGATCCACAGCGACACACTTCACAAACAGGATATTCGGAAGGCGTAATTTGTGCAATTTCCAGAGAATGGATTTTATTAATGAGAAATTCTTGTTCAGCCATGCACTAATCAAGCCTCTGATTACTTCAATTAAGCAATTACGGTTCAACGAGTCTTGCCAGGCCCCATTGCTGCATGCCCTCGGGTGGAGAAGCCACATCAGAATGAGACCAGTGGTGACGGAGGGAGAACATGGGTGGACCCGAAGTCCGTTTTGACTAGACATGGCATGGAATTTTAGGTGAGGAGCAGTGAAAGGTGTGATTTTTGATCGGTTCGTCTCTGTACATCATCATCATCATCATACTACTGGAAACCACAGTGCATTCGGCAAAGCTCACAGTGGACAGGAAATGTAATTTGTAGATAACGAGATGTGAAAACAGCATTCAGGAGTGGGAGGGAATTTGATTTGAAAAACGTCTGACTCAACATAACGCCTTCATTTTTGTGTGAATGGAATTTCCAGAGGCATGAAGAGATGCATTTAGTAATATATCAAGGGTATAAATTATTTCAGAAAGTGGGTTTTCGCCATGGTGGGTGCATACGAGTACATCTGATTCGGATTCTTTTCTTCTACGAAACAAAATCTTTTGCCATCAGAATAATGGTAAATCTACAAACTGACAAGTCGGTGGTTGATCTCACTTACTGCTCTTGATGACGTCGGGCTCGCTGTAAGCACCCTGCACGGTGCTCTCGGTCAACCAGACCGGCCTCTCCTTCGGGGCCTTGCCTTCCATGGCCTGCCTCTGCTGCTCCTCCTGCTCCTCCATGCTGATGACCACATTCTGGGTGTACATGTCAGCGTAAGACGAGCCTTTGGTTGACCAGGCCTCGCGGTGCGGTCCGCTTAGGTTCAGTCCGGCTGCTGCGGCGGCGCGATCGCGGCTGGAGGAAAGATTCAGTGAGTGTTCTTTAAATGGCAGTCTGGAACAGTTCAAACTAATTAAGCACATGTTTTATTGCAGTGTAAAAGGAAAGAATTCTCTGGTTGCTCAACTGAGGACTGGCTGACTGAGGGGAATACGCATTTGTGAGTAGTAAGCAGCATGAGAGGTTTGTCGGGAGCTGACCTCTGTTTGAGGGCAGGAATCTCAGCCGGCTCGGGCTCCAGCAGATCCTGAGACAAGTTAACATCTTCGGTCTCACGTAGCAGCGCGTAGATGGGCTCGATCTGCTCGTTGAAGCGTGCCACTAGCGTCCTGCCGTCGGAACAGACGGACGCGTCCTCCTCCACCTCTGTCTGGCAGAAGGTGCAGCGAAATGTACCTGTGGGTGGAGACAGTACCGTGTTTAAAACATAAGTGGTTGCCCTTTACTCTTTAGATGTACTTTATACGTATACTACACATGAATCACACAGGCGGTAAAGGGGCTTGTGTAATAACTGTCCACTATGATCAACAAGGATTTTGTAAGCAACCCTGCAACATACATCATTTCTCAGACGCCACCATGTTACAAATGTTTTGTACTATCTGGACCTTGAGTCTAAAATAAAAGTTTGATTTGATAGTGTACTTCTTCCAAAAAAAATGATGCCTTGCTGTCTATCACATTCCGTCTGATGTTTTTCTCTTGAGACCTGCTTCCTACCAGTAAGAGTAGGGCATGTTAAGCCATCTTCTTCTCCGGCTGATTTTAGTTTCCATAAAGGGAAAGGTTCCAGCATTAAGACATACCCCGTATTTGGAGCCACATGTCAGATGGAGTTAGTAAAGAGAGAGGAGGGTACATTCACATTACAAAGTGTGAAAATTCAGAGCGGAAGGGTTTCCGGCTCTACTCTGTGGGTCAGAATGAGCTGGCAGACAAATGGTGTCTCTTTCCATCCCAGTGACGTACACCCGAGTGCTGCTTTCCCTGAAGAAACAAGCAGTCCATTAAACCCCAGTACATGTGAGCTCCAGGTATCCTTTATGTCAGCCGCTTTCTCAGGGCTCAAGACGTGTCAGAATGAGTGACCAGGAAGATGCTGACGGCTCCAAGCAGTACGATCAAGTAAGGGAATTAGAACTTATACCAGAATGTCACTTACAATGGCAATTCAAACATATCATCCAGAGTGGTGGTTTTTTGGCTAATCATGTCCTCAAATTAGTGTGTTGCATTTTGAGGCAACTCAGTCTTGGAAATATGAAAATGCCCACACGCTTGTTTTTCTTTTACGAAAATACCAAGCAGCCCTTCAGCATTTTGTTTGAAGAGCAGATGATGTTCATGTAATTTACATAAACAACTAGCAGCATTTTTTAACAAGAACCAGTTTCAATTTCATTACGGTTTTGTCGGTCTTTTTATACCAGCGTAAAACCTGGTCTCTTCTGGACATTGTGACGGCCTTTCAGTTGTTTTCTGTATTGCACTAATTGACCTCCGCTGGTTGAACTTTTCTCCTTGCCGCAGTTAAGAACAAGTGAAATTGAGGACTTGGTGAGACAGAAGGAGACTTTCTACCAGAATGCGTGGAAAAAGCCCTCGTCTTCAGCCAGGTGGCACAACCTCTTTGTTTCCTAGCAACGGCGGCCGTTGACTGTCAACATTTGCATCGGCAGATAATGATAAGATAAAGCTCAGTATGGAGCACACACTTACTCAATAGTACGATATTCTTCTGGAGCATTATTTCATTTTAATACATATTTTTAGGGCTGGGCGGTATACCGGTTCAAACCGTACGCTGTGATTCTCTAACGTTCCGTTCGTACCGGTGTTACGCCATAACTGACGTTGCTCTTCGGCAGGCGGCAGAATTTATTTCTACACGTCACCGCGGAGCGCACAGCGGTCGGGGCCACTTGTCTTATGTGTGTTGAGATTAAGCATGGTTATAACTTTATTTAAGCTGCACTGAACTGTAAGTAACACACTGACAGCACTTGCCCATGGGGAGGTATATGACAGAAAACAAATAGCCCCATAGATAATTAGACTGTTTACCGGTCATTGGGTCAAACAGCTGATTGGCCTCTAGATCTGTGAAGGTGGAGAAGCAGCATGGGCACCGGAAGGAAGCGCGGTTGGTGGAGTCTCGCTCATCCGTCTCAATGCGCCTTCGCATATGATCCAATTTATACTTCACCACGTTGACCAACACCCTAAAAAGAACAGCATAAACATTTATTGGACCAAAAGAAACACAATTGCACATAATCTTAATTTTTGATCTTCCCAATCATCAGAGAAACGATGTTATGTCCATTTTGGAAAAAGATATGCATCTTTAGGTGAGGTCTTTTGAGGGGCCCTCTGTGCTGGTGGTTAGACATTGGTGAATCAAATAAAGGCTTTAACATTGTGATGGGTGGATTTCTGATGGGATGCCTCCCATCTCTTATTCCCACAGGTTACTTAAACACATAAAATTACGTCTGATACAAAACAACGAGATAAAAACAAACACCTGTAGTTGATGAAGTAGTAGTTGTGGCGCGTTGTCTTGCCATCGGGCGCCGTTTCCACTCGCATGCGACACTTCACAAACTTGTCTGCCTTGAGGGTGTTGAGCACTGAGCGCAGTTGTTTACGATCGAACTTGAGCAGCTCCAGCATGTCCTCCTCACGCACACACGGGTTGCGAATGAGCACGTCCAGGGCCAACGCATGTTCCACTCCGAAGAAGCCCCTTACGACCTGCTTGGCCAGCCGCTTCAGCGCCGCGGGGACCTCGGTCAGTACCTCTGGTTCTATCATCTTCTGCTGTGGAGAGAGAGAGAGAGAGAGGGGGGGGGGGGGGGGTTAAGTAACTTATTTTAATGTTAGATAGCTCAAACAAATGATGTATAACAGCGACAAATGCACCAAAATGAGCAGTGACGATAACTACTGGTGTCGAGTGTATAACTGCATGACATGTTAACGTTTAATTCACTACACATGTACGTTAAGCACTTTAGGCGATCTTAAAATTAGCCGAAGAGCTTGCCGATAACACATCATGCTAACTAACGTTACATGTAGCTTAGCTAACACCAACCCTGCCCAGTAACTTACTCTCTAACGATATATTCCACCACGCCAAAGTCACCGCTTCCTTAAGCCATTGCGGCGTTTGTCTCTAACAAACACAGCGCGATAGAAACATTCGTACTTGAGTATTTAAACTGCTAGGTTAGCTCGCACGCTTCATCGTTCATCTGAGACGTCAACCCCGGAAGTAATACCAAAACCACAACAAAGGTTTTACCAGTAGAGCTCAATAGCCAATAGGAGGAAAGGGTTGTTGATGGACCGATATTTCTGACCAATGGCTGTGCTTCTTTCCTAGTTTCTCAGACACCTATCAGATTCGGTGTTTCCACTATTAGCTTCCGGGACGCCGCTGTCATGAAAAAAAATGGCTTCTCTTGACAGGGTAAAAGTGTTAGTTTTAGGAGATTCAGGTGAGTTTAATACAATTTTAGAATCGTTATATGTAAATATATACGTTATTCTAGGTAGATATTCCATTGGTTGCATCGCGTGGCATATTGAACGAGACCTCCAGCTCTTGTCAAAGTCGCTTTAAACCTAAATACGCAGCTCTATTCTCGAGTGAAAGTGACATCCAATAGCTCGTTGAACATATTTGCTGATGTTCTACATTATAGAAGCTAGGATGTTTTACACTGACGTGTTTTTTATATGTGCCATATACAACTTAAATAAACCATGTCTTCGTTGTGTTGTTACCAGAAGTAGTAACTGTATACCGAGCCGCAAATGACCATTCACCGTCACCCACCGCCCTTGTATTGTGTGTATTTTGCAGGGGTGGGCAAGTCTTCTTTGGTCCATCTGCTGTGTCAGAATCAGGTGTTAGGAAATCCATCCTGGACCGTCGGCTGCTCTGTGGATGTACGGGTAAGCAGCTCAATGCCTCATTTACACAATTTAATTGAGATAAGGTCCAAAACGACGCTGCACGCCTTTTTAATTATGACGTGTACACCTCGCACAACAGTCGTTTCAAATGACACTATTTGTAAATGCTGAAATGTTTGTGAAGCGGTCGGGATGAGGATTAGCACCTGGGAAACCGATGGATTGCCTACTCCAGGTAGGGGAATGTGTCCTCACCCCAAGTGAAGCTCCTTTGCGTCGAAAGGAGCCAGTTGAGGTGGTTTGGGCATCTGGTGAGGATGCCCCCTGGACGTCTCCCTAGGGAGGTGTTCCAGGCACGGCCAGCTGGGAAGAGGCCCCCGGGAAGACCCAGGACTAGGTGGAGCGATTTTTTCTCTGCACTGGCCTGGGAACGCCTTGGGATCCCCCAGTCAGAGCTGGTAGATGTGGCCCGGGAAAGGGAAGTTTGGGGTCCCCTGCTGGAGCTGTTGCCCCCGCGACCCGACCCCAGATAAGCGGCTGACGATGGATGGATGGATGAAATGTTTGAACCATCTGACCAAATTACTATTTAACTCCAGGTCCAAGACTATAAGGAGGGAACCCCGGAGGAGAAGACCTACTACATTGAACTCTGGGATGTGGGAGGATCTCTTGGCAGTGCCAGCAGTATCAAAAGCACCCGAGCTGTGTTTTACAATTCAGTTAATGGTAAATAGGGTTTTACTATGATTATTAAATTAAATCCGGCATCATTAAGGTTGCTAATACTCTAACACTCTTTTTTTGTAGGAATTATGCTGGTACATGATTTGACAAATAAGAAATCGTCTCAGAATCTCTACCGCTGGTCTCTAGAAGCTTTAAGCAAGGATTCTTCTCCAACAAGAGTTATCGTCTCAAACGGGTGAGTTAGACGTGTCTTGGTAGTTTGTTTTCATGCGGTGTGCCACACGCACACAGAGCGGCACAGCTGCTGAAGATATTATGTAGTGACTGGAAGTGTTGCGTGCTGAGGTGTTGGGTCATCTTCTTTCCTCCCCGCAGTGACTATGACAGAGAGCAGTTTGCTGAGAACTCGGTGCCGTTGTTGCTGATTGGCACCAAGTTTGACCAGATCGCAGAGACCAAACGCACTGAAGTTCTCACACGGACGGCCTTCCTGTCTGAGGACTTCAATGCAGAGGAGATAAATCTCGTAGGTGAACTTTTTAATTCCACAAGCTCTCGTCTTAAGCCCGTTTTATATCGAATCCATAACATTACTGGCTTCATCTTTGTGTGGAAATATCTTTTTTCTGGCATTTCAACACACGTCTCTATTAAGAATTCTGAAAATCTCAGACTTTAGAGACTGAGGCAGAGACACCAACGCCTTTATCGGGAGTGTTTATTTTCTATGTAAAGGGAAACCTATGTGATCAAAGCAATGTGGAATAAGCTACATTCACAAGTTTATTCTATTCACACAGTTTCAAGATTGCAGCAGAGAAACAACATTTATTTTTCCGGTTTGATGGCTGAGGTGCTGTTTTGTTTTCCAGGACTGCACCAACCCAAGATACCTTGCTGCAGGCACATCCAACGCAGTGAAGCTTAGCAGGTTCTTTGACAAGGTGAGTAACCCACAGCCTGGATATAGATATAGAATTTTATGGCATGATTTAAGGATACTCGATCATGTAATGTCCTTTTTTGTTTTTTTGTGAGTTTTGTATTTAAAGAGACTTCGGCCTCTCAATCTAAACCTAAACCTTCTTCACAGGTAATAGAGAAGAGATATTTCACAAGAGACCCGAGTCCGGTGAGTTTCTCATCTCCAGTCCTTGCCGATATGAATTCAGTAGTAACTCTGCTTTTTTTTTAAACCACACATTTCTTTCACTTTCTCTGCAGATGATCGGTTTTGCAGACAGGAAGCGGTTCAACTTCAAAAGTTTGCACTATGACTGAGAACAGCTGTGGTCTGTGGTGCGTTTCGGCAGTAATGCCTCTGAACAACACCAACAACAGCAAACCATCACGTCTCTTCTATCCTCTGTTATATCCTTGATAATGATTTATTAATATTATGAATAATTAATAGAATGATAAAAATACTTATGTAAATAGTTTAGAATGTGCCGAAGCAACATTGCAAAAGGCAGCTAAGCACACAAATGAAGAAACTTGCTGTATAGTCAAATGATTTAAAAGGTAATGGGCACATGTTCTCAGTGTAAAAAAAAAAAGTTTTTCATTATATATATTTTTTTTCATACTGTCGGTTGATTTTCTCTTCACATGCCAAACATTCCGTTTTACCAGCTTCACGATTTTCCTTTTTTTTTTTTTTCAAAACCAACACAATGTTTACAGAATAAGCAAGTGAGGAAAGGACAACATTCAACAGTGACTCAGCGACATTCATCAATTCATAACTTTCTTAATCCAGGGAAGAAAGGAACTGACTTTGATGAAGACGTGTGGATATTTGGGATTGTTGCAATCACCTTTCACGGTAAAAGCTGTCAAACCCTGTAGCACTTTGTTGCAGATCAGTGGTCCCCCAGAATCGCCCTAAGAAAAAAAACGACAGTCGATGAAATATAATGCAAGATTCTACTTGTTTTGGATTAAAAATATATAATAGTTTTCATTCTTATTGATGTATTTCTATCTTTTATGATGGTTAGGTGCTTCATTTACTGTTGCATTACCTGGCAAATCCCTCCCTTCTTTTTGTCAAATTTGGTACAGATCATGTGCTCAGAATTGAAGTATTGTTTCCATATATCTTTGCACTCAAAGCCGAACTGTATCACTTCCGTGGTGTCTTTTAGCACATCTGAGGACGCCGTTTTGGCGGTTTGGCCCCAGCCGGCAACGGCACATTTGATGTTTGCGGGGACTTTCCCACTTTTCCTAGGCAGCCTGATGGCCTTCACTGACCTCGTCAGCGTGGCATTGTTCTCTAACTGTGAAAGAAAACCGCGTACTTCATGAAACAGTTCAACCGTCCGTCAAACAATTTGATTGTGTTAATGTTGTCTTCAAAGCAAAATTTAGCTCTTTTTTTTTTTTCTTTTCTAAATGAGCAGCTCAGCGGCAACGTTTTTCAGCGAAAACGCGTGAAAACCACATCGACTCGACGTTGCAAAAGTGAAACTGAGACGATGCCATCAAATACATTGCGCTCATTACTTTACAGAGACTTTGGTTTACACACACTGGTTTTGATAATACCGTTTACACAGTTGTCGATTACCTGAAGCAACATTATGTCGTAGTCGTATTCTCCGGTGTAATCTGGATGCTGATGGTACTTGGCTACTCGGATCCGTTGCTGACTTTTCTCTTTCTTCCTGATGTTATGTGCCCCAAGTACCACCGTCATTGGCTGATTTCTGTTACAATTCGTGTAAACAAAGTTAGGTTTGCTAAATTATGATAGTAAATCTAAAGGTAGCACATTGAAGTACAATGAAATATTAATTATGAGTGTTTAGAAAAAAAAGTTCAAGCAAATGTCATTTTTGTCAAATGCAGGCTGTGACAAACACGCATGTGACACACACAATAATGTTTTAACATGGAACTCACTGTTTGCAGTGTGCTGCTGTCAGAACAAAGTCCTCCCGAATGAGCAATCCGCCACATGAATGTTTGCCCTGAAGTTGGAGTGATGCCATGTAGGGCCTAGAATGAGGCTTTGCGACCTTCCCCCCCACTATGCCGCTCTCAGTTGCCCCTTACACAGGGGGGAGGGGGGAGAAGGTGAATTAATACACAAATTACAAAACACATATATAGTCGTATCTCTAACGGCAATGGTTACATTTAGTTTCATCTTACCAGTGAAGGGGAGCAGCTGGAACACGATCAGCCAGTGCATGTGGAACATGGTCGTTGTCTGGAGTCAGAAGATGCACAGTGTGTCTGGCACTTCACGCCGTTCCACCATTTATAGTCAACCCTCTAACTCCCACGAGGGAAAGTTCGAAGGAAACTGAAACGTGGGGGGCAGGTGTCATTGTTGCACAAAAGAGTTCACACCTTTCCCCCTGCAGCATGAGACCACTCTATGATACCGCTGCCAGCTGCTCGTGGGTGCTAATTGATAAATAATCTAACTGTGAAGCACATCGCTGAGTTAAATTCTGCATGTGTCCATGTGCCTCTACAATAGGATCCTGTACTTTGAAAAGAGGTCCTGTCCACCGGCACCGTTTATATTTCAGAGTCAGAAAGGTTCATTTTTACTGTGCGCCATAACAAGCGGGCTCCCTCGACTGCTTGTTGCAGAGGAAGTCACACCTCACGCTCTGAACTTCACACACACATAATGCTCTCATTGCAAGTGCAATCCTTTTTATGGAGGTTAAGGAAAAAAAACAAACCCTGCGTGTTAGCATTGTTTTCACAAAGCTCCCTGGTTTGACCCCAAAGTAGACAGATTTTAAATTCCTTGTTAAGAGGAGCATTAAACAATCATCGTGATGTTTCGCTTCTTTACTGGAGCACTGGTCTGCTGGAGGTGTTTTTGGCCTAAGCCTTCACTTATTTAATTTAGATTAATAATACTCAAGTCGTGACAGATAAACAAAATAAAAACCCTAAAATAGCAGCTACCGTATGTGCGCGCATGCCTTAGTGTGCACTGACCACTAGATGGAGCTGTATGCATTTCATCTGGACAAAATACACTCCAAAGACGATTAGCTGGCCGGTCCTCTTAGAACCATGAATTGAAACGAGTGCGTCGACGCAGAAGCATTCGCCAGCCTTTAGACCACACTCACCCTCTTCCTGGCACTGACACATGTTGTTGTTGTTGTTTATGGGGAATGTCATTCCCATCCAATCCCAACCACCACAACAAATCCGTTAAAACGTTTACCTGTTTGACAGCTTGACAAACAAGGCACTTTTATTGGGAAGTTGAGGAGATTTTCCTTTTGAATTATACAGGTAGAAAATGTTGTACAAAGTGTCCATAGAGATGGTTCTTTGTTGTCTTTTCAGGAATAGCTATTTAGTGCTGGTGTTTTTAATGTAACCAAACCCTCTGGGCGGTTTGTTTGACCCTCACCACTGCACGCAGTCAAGCAGAGCAATAGAATGAGGTGACATTTACCATAAGAGTGACACGGCGCAGCAGCAGGACAAACTGTAGGTTTTCAGATAAGAAATACTTCTGGATCAGGTATTCTTTTAAGGTTATCCAAGTTCTGGCCAAAATGAATCAAAGTGATACTGTAACAGATGGCTGATTATTTGAAGAGTCTTTTTGTTTAACCTACAGACGTGCAGCAGGTCCTTTGAGATACGTGGAGCTAAAACAGGCTTTGGCGTTTCCAGTATTAATGCAATGTCGGACCAGGGTTGGTTAGGAAGTATTTCACATTCAAAGCTGCCACAGCAATACATGATTGTGGGTATATCTCGATCTATGGCACAGGGGCTTCTCAAATGAGCCTAATGGGATTTGAGGACTGTGTCTCTCAAAATGTATCATTTCAGCCATGGAGGATATGAGGTATTCAGTCTTTGTGTCAACAAACATGTCACTCACTAATCCTTTCAGTGCAGTTTCTACTACGAGAGCTTTGTGGTTTCCACAAGCAAAACGGATGTTGACCTGCTCTGAGTTCTGCCTCCACCCTCAGGCCAAAGTGCATCTTTCTTGTCTGGTATCTTTACTGTCTTTGCTCCGATGGAGCCGTGAATATCGAAGCGGAATTGGTTTTGTCGGCCGTTCAGCCAACAGTTTTGTTTTATGATGTGTGATGACAGTGCATTTCATGTTGTGTCTGCATGCACTCTGAAAGTAGGAGCAACCGGGAGATTATTTTGGAGTCAATCAACTAGTGCCACTCGGTCCGTTGGACAGCAGATAATGGTCAACGTGACCCAGTCGGAATTTAAGATAACACAAAATGTCTCCCCGGCTTAGATCCTACTCTCCTTAAAAATGTCTTGAAAGTGTCTTAGAGCTGCAATATTTCCACACCTGCTCCAAAAAGGTGAACATAAGGGATTTTCTACAGTAAGACAAACAGCTCTCAGATGATCTACAGAGTTTTGGTTGGAAGCAAAGTAAAAAAAGGCCATAGGGCGTCAAATTGAACTGAAATCACGTCTGTTTGTCTAAACTGAAGTCAGCCTCTGAGAGCCCTCTGGTACGATCCTGAGCCTGCGGCTCAGACCTTCACGCTGACCGTTCCCTCATTGGGTGTTGCATTTCTCCAGGGATTAAGAACAATTCCACAAGATGTTGAATTTGGCAACCGTTTGGTTAAACGAGTGGAGAAAGCAGATCCAAATGGAGGGATTAATTCAATATTATGTGAATGCAACTGGGGCCAGTTAGCACAAACTAAAAACCAAACCGAACATTGACGTACAGTGACTATTAGCTATATGTCACTACATTTTCCCACCTACTCGATAACCAAAGTTAACCATTTCCCCCACAATCCCAGTATTGGTAGAAGAACCCCAGAGACAAAGGTGTCTATTTAATTACATTTTATTCATATTCCCCAACATCACAACCATTTAGTGTTTTCTTTCAAAAATTGATTTTTTCATACAGCAAAAAAATGATCACAGATAAAATCAAGATGTACACCGCACACATACGCACACACATACGCACACACATACCCTCATTCAGAAATTCAGACGACCAGCACCATGTCTTTCAAACTCCGATATACAATTCATGACTAAATTGATAGAATGACTGTCTGTTACGCTACGCTTGCTTCCTCTTCGGTGTCCCTTTCCTGAAACACTTGCGGCCGCAGAACAAGCAGCCTTTCAGTGTGACCCACAGGACACCGACGAGGACGACGGCAAAAAAGACAAAGACATCCAGGCTGTTGTACTGAATCCAGTTCAAGTCGTGTGCCGCTACCCTTAAATGTGCAGCTCCTTTGTGTCTCATGACGAACTCGGTCCAGAAGACGGCCAGGTCCAAAGGCTCCACGGGACGGTCCAAGTGTATGTCCGACAGCGTCGTTATCTTCTCCTTGTAACTGGGGAGAAGTCATATTCAGAAGAAACAAAGTCAATGGGACCACCTCCACTTCTCACAGAGTAGAACTATTTCCCAAAACACTGCTGCAGGTCACATGGTGCGTCTTTGTTTTGTTCGCAGCTTGAGTTTGGGCGTTCAAGCAACAAACACAGGATGCAAATGTGCTAACTGTGGAGGAATGAACCAAGCTGTTAAGTCTACAGAACGCACAATGTGTTGTCGTGACAAACCTTCATTCACAGTAAAACTTCAAAGGTACCTTTAAGAATGCAAACTAAGGGAAATGTCAGCGCAGCACTCCCTGCCTTCACATCCAGATAAGAAGTAGAAGGCTAAATACGAACCAACATCTGTGTGCAGAGGTTTCAGACAAACTGAGAAAATGAAATGAAAGCTTTATATAAAGATGGTTTTATAATCTGCATGTACAAGTTAGTGACTGTGTGCACTTGTCTTACCTTTTGTCGTTGATGATTTTCTTAATTGCCACCAGTAGAGTTTCAGTTGTCACATCGTAAATTAAGAGTTTCTCTGCAACACCGCGGGACACCAGGTGATGCACGTTGTCCCCCTGGTCCCCAAACAGTGGGAACATGAGCATGGGCACGGCATTGCAGATACCCTCGTAGATCCCGTGGGTACCGCCGTGAGTCATGAACACTTTAGCTTTGGGATGGGCTGAGGAGCACAAGTAAAGTCAATTCAGGTCCAGTCCAAAATGCCGATAATGTTCTGTAATACTAGCACTGTAATGACTGGATGGCATGTTTTAAAACATATCAATGTACGTGTACAGTCAAACACACCTAGGAGATCATTCTGAGGTAACCACTTCATGAGTTTCACATTCTTGGGTACATCTTCAGTGAAGTTTCCAGTGTATCTCCAAACAACCTGAAACAGAGAAAAGCCGTTGTTTTGGTGGTGGGAGACGTGGGAGCCTCCTGCTGTGAGGAAGCAGTGGTGAAACAACCCCATCGATAAACTCAGGTCGCTTTTTACATTGAATCACAGTAAAGTGGTTCAGCGCGTTACCCTTTGAGGAATTTGCCGAAAGGCATCGAGGAACTGTTTGGCCTTCTTTTTCGGCATGTCGGACACCATTGAGCCCAGGGTGAAGACGATAAAGCCGTCGTCTCCCGAGCCCTCCACAAACTCCTTCAAGTCCTGCAGGGGGGGATGCAGAGGACGACGACGCGTTAGATAAGGCCCACATCTGCCGTGATACATCGTGTTAAAGTATATTGAACGTAGTATATCGCATTTCTCAACCAATTGTTTGTATTTGCTGAGTCTCTGCACCTGTAATTACCTCAATTGTCTGTCAGATACATGCATATCGCTTTGAACCGGACTCAGACCCTCAACAAGAAGCAAATAATTTTGCATTCAACAGAATGTTTCTGAATACATTTTTTTCCTGATTCTAGCCGGGACGTGGTCTTCATAGATGAAATGAATCCAGTGTTTCCCCCTCCATTATACAGGGAAGAGAATTGACGGAACTGTGTCGGGGGGATGTGGTGGGGTGGGGGGCCGTGGCGATGTAACGGAGACTCCCGCCCAGCAAACGAGTCGTTTTATTTAGTATTAATTGATTACAGGAATCATTAAAAAACACGCCGGGTGTTTTTTTCCCCCTGCGGTTGGGCGTTGGTAGACCTGCCAGACATAACGTGTAGGAGACCAATCAGAGTGGAATCTTAATTATATGTCCCCTTTAACACAACAAGGCCCCACCTTTTTTATCTTCATGCTTTCCTTTGCTCACATTTCCGTAGTCCTTTGGCTTTTGCCCGACTCAACAAAGAGCAACTTGCCTTAAGTGAATCCAGATGTGATGCATGCTTGTTTTATCTGGCATTCATTCTTTCAATACTCACCGCTGGAAGAGGAGCTTTCTTTGCACAGTTGATTCCTCCAATAAAGACCATGTTCGGCAAAAGAGGTTTGGGCCATTCAAAAGTAAAGTCATATCTGAGGAGCCAGATCGCTCCGTTACTAAGCAGGCCCTTGTAGGTGATGTCGTTTCCAAGGTACCTGCTGACCAGA